ACTGCCAGAGTTCTGCCTACTGGGAAGATTTCTCCTCCCCACTGACCTTCAGGGATGTCCCAGAGAAGGACTGTCGGGCTGCAGTTGTCCACATCTGAGTGGTGCCTGCATATCATGAACCTTGTGCATAACGGGTTATTTACACTTCATGAGGCGACAGGTGCAGCTGGAAGAGAAGGTAGCAGGAGGGGGGACCACGGGCGTTTGGGCCCTACTCCCCTGTCTAACTTGTACCACAGGGGGCCTGCTCAGGCCTAATCACACATACACAACCTCCCATGAGATGCTGTGATAACTGCTGTGCACGCCCGGCTTTATGATTTGTGGGTCAGATAACACCCAGTTCATGATGGGCCGCTCAGGTCACATGGCAACTTGGTGGCCTGGGGTCAAGTGCTCAGTTGCTGCTAAGTCCCATGGTAGGCCAAGCCAGCTTTCTCAAAAAGGAAAGTCATTATCTGCAGAGTCTGTTTTTATGATTCGAGGTAGGCCTTTGTTCTGACAGCGAAGCTTTCTGCTTTTACACAGCAAGTAGTAGGCTTTATGTGACAAAGCTACTCTGACGTTCCAATCTCCCTAAGCCTTTGAAGCCCTTCCTCTAAATTAACCCGGGGGAGATCAAGCATCTCCGGCTCCCCAGAGGTGGGCTCTCTTTTGATCCATGCTTCAGCCTACCAAGCCGACAAATAGTCATTTCCAACTCCCCAGTCTGCAGTAATAACGCACCATCTCTGCTTAGTTTGTTCCTATCAATACATTTGGCCTGATCCAACTTCATGTCCCTTCCATGATTACCCCACACTGTTAATATCCGTTCCTGCATGTGTGCTCTGGAATTCTGCTTGTATAAATGAGAAAATGCAATTGAGGAGGCATAGCATACGTTCTCATGGGCCACCCTCTGCTCTCCACCTTTCCGGGCCTGCTGAAGGTTAATCCCCTGGGTCAGAGGTGGAAAGGCCCAGACTATGAGGGTCTGGAGGAGGAGAGGTCACTTTCCCTGGAAGACAAGACCCGTCAGAATCAGCGGCTCAGTGTCCCAGCTTCATCAGGGTGCTTCCACACGTCCCATCCCAACTTACAGGGTTGCATTCTTCCGCGATCAACACCCTCACTTTAACAGCAGACCAGGCTGAGCATTCACCTTTCCGCTGGGCTTCGGCCAATCGTAGGATGAGGGCTTGTGTGTGATTTTCAGCGCTCTCAATCCTGTGGCTATGGGAGAAGAGATTCTCTTTCAGGGCACGCTTAGAAGCTTTCAGGCTATTTATGTGCAGAGAATTTGAATCCCTGGACTCATCCTTTTCTTTCACCACTTTGGCTAACAACGTTAGAGCAATCAACCAACTTCATTCTGTTCCTTGATTTTCCACAAATGGTCAAAAGTATCATGTGCAGGGTCATCAAACGCCTTGCTGTTTGCAAGTGATGAACAAGGAGGGTCAGGTGCACTTGTTTTATATATCTCAATTAACAGTTCATGCCGTAGACCACCAGTCCTCTCTGTATTATTAGAAGTGGGGTCCTTAGCATTTTAGGTCTGATCAGATTAGAGAGCCAATTCCAGAAATCCCAAATCCAATTTAAAAAATTCATCTTTAAAATTCTATTTCTCTAAAACCACTCCTGGTACTAAAATCTATATTAGTCAGGCTTCTCCAGAGAGAACTAGTATAAAATATTAAAGGGAATTTATTAGGGGGAGTTGCCTCACCTGGTCTCAGGGCAGAGAAGTCCCATGACAGGCCAACTGCAAGTTGGAGAACCAGGGAAGCCAGTAGCTTAGCTCAGTCCAAGTCCAAGGCCTCAGAACCAGGGATGCCAACAGTGCAGCCCCCAATCCGGCCTGAGAGCCTGTGGAAGGCAGCTGGAGCAAGTTCCAGAGTCCAGGAGCTGAAGAACCCTGAATCTGGTGTCCGAGGGCAAGAGGTGAAAGTGTCCCACTCCAGAACGGGAAAAGAACAGAGAGAGCCAATCCCCCTTCTCCCTGTTTGTCCCAAGTGGGCCACAGCCAACCATGGCCACCACATTGAGGACGACTCTTTTTCTCTCAGTCCACTGACCCACAGGTCCATCTCCTCTGAAAACACTCCCAGAGACATACCCAGAAATATGCTTCACCACACAGGGCGTCCCTTAGAGTAATCATGTTGACACCTGAAATTAACCATCACACCAACTTTATACCTTTCTATATAGTATTTTCAAATGTTCCCGAGTGACCTAATGATAGCTAACATATACTGAGTGCTTAGCCTGTATTAAGCATTTTCCTAAGCACTTGTATGAGGGAAGTATTGATTTGTTCCCATTTTGCAGTTGAGAAAACTGAGGCTTGAAGGGATTAAATAATCATCAGGTTTGGACTCTGAACATGGATACAATCTGAGTTGAAAGCTATGAAGTAAACAGACATCTACTCTGTCTTTTATAATTGTGGTGAAGGGACAGGACTCTTTGGTGAATAAACAACATTTTTTAAAAGCCAAGAAATTAATGAACGTTGCATGGCATGTTGGTTCAGGCCTGTAATCCTAGCACTCTGAGAGGCTGAGGCAGGAGGATCCCTTGAACTCAGGAGTTTGAGACCAGCCTGAGCAAGAGCAAGACCCTGTCTGTGCTAAAAATAGAAAAATTAGCTGGGTTTTGTGGTGGGCATCTGTAATCCCATCTACTCAAGAGGCTGAGGAAGGAGGATTGCTTGAACCCAGCAGTTTGAGATTGCTGTGAGCTGTGACGCCACGGCACTCTATCCAGAGGGACAGAGTGAGAGACTCTGTCTTAAAAAAAATGAAGAGACATAGATACAGATTATAGACAGAGACAGATAGATGGGTGGATGAATAGACAGATGATAGATAGACATAGAGATAGATAGATGGATGGATGATAGATAGAAGGATATCTTCACTGAACCTCAGCCTGGTGTGAACACAATGTGTGTGCATGGGTGGGAGGGGACACCATCACTCCATAAATACAACTTGAAGAAGCCAGAAGATATAGATTTGATTTCAAAGAGCCCCTACAACCTCCAAACAACAGCAAAGATATTATTAATATTTGTTAAGCAAAGAAATTGTTTACCAATTTCTGGACAGTAAGCTTGAGATTTAGAGCAGAAGCCCCCTGCCTATTTTTGTAAATGAAGTTCTCTCTGCTCTTTGTAAATGAAGTTTTACCGGCACACAGCCAGGCACAGTCCTGTGTTTCTGACAGAGTTGAATAGTTGTGACAGAGACTATATGGCCTGCAAAATCTAAAATATTTACTGTCTGACTTTTTACAGAAAACGTTTCTCTACCCTTATCGACAGCAGTTTCATAAACTTTATGGTACACACGACCCACCTGGGGTTTTAGTAAAAATGCAGATTCTGATTCAGCACATCAGGGGCGGGGCGTGAGAGTTTGCATTTCTAATGAGCTCCCAGGAAATACCACTGCTGCTGGGCCATGGACCATGCCTGGGTTTGAGCAAGCAACAAATATTTTGTGAGTGTCCCTTCAGAGAAGGACATGAACTGGCCTACAAAAACCTTTAGACATCTCAGGCGGCACCTGTGGCTCAAAGGAGTAGGGTGCTGGCCCCGTATACTGGATGCGGCAGGTTCAAACCTGGCCCTGCCCAAAAACTGCAAAAAAACCCCTTTAGACATTTCACAACAACATGAAGGAGGTTTATCTGCCAAATCAAAGGGTTCTCCAACTTCCAGAAGGATTTCCAGTGGCTGGCTTTGGGCTACCCTCCTTATTCCCATCTATTATGTCTGCATCAGAGGGCCATTGCTGTGGTCTGAACATTTGTCCCCTCCAAAACTCATGCTGAAATTTAATTATCATTGTGATGGCATTGGGAGGTGGGACCTGAAGAGGTGTTTAGGTCATGAGAGTTTGCCTTTGTGAATGGATTAGTGCTGTTAACCGAGGGGCGTGAGTTAGTTACTGTGGGAGCAGCCTCAGCCCCTCCCTCCCTCTGTATCGGTCTCTCTCCTGCTCACCTGCCATGCTATGACTTTAGCAGCAAGGGCCATGTCAGATGCCAGCACCTTGATACTGGACTTCCCAGTTTCCAGAACTATTAGTCGATAAATTCTGTTCATTATAAATTGCCCAGCCTCTCGCATAGCAACACAAAATGGACTAAGATAGACACATCTGATTTCCCGGCAGCCCCCAGCAAGAGCCTCTCAGGTTAAGCTCACACGATGATAGGGAAGAGAGAGGGAATAACCAAACTTTCTTCTCTAGTTATACTTTGTACCAACCTCTAACAATGTGCGTTTTGAGGGATATGTTTTATAACACGTATAATACGTTAGTACAGGCTTGGTGCCTGTAGTTCAGTGGATAGGGCGTTGGCCACATGCACAGGGGCTGGCAGGTTCAAACCCGGCCTGGGCCTGCCAAACAACAATGACGACTGCAACTAAAAAATAGCTGGGCATTATGGCAGGTGCCTGTAGTCCCAGCTACTTGGGAGGCTGAGGCAGGAAAATCACTTAAACGCAAGAGTTTGAGGTTGCTGTGAGCTGTGATGCCACAGCACTCTACCGAGGGTGACATAATGAGACTCTATATGAAATTTTTTATATGTATATATATAGTGCCGTGAGTTGTATCTGCACCTGACTTACAAATATGTAATAAATGTCTACCATTTATAAATAATATAAGCTTTGTTATTATCCCATCTTATAAAGGAGGAAATGAGGCTCAGAGACACACATGCCCATGGGCACACTGGGAACTAAAATTCCTCTTGGTCCTCTGAGGGGGCCTGGCCTAGTGCCCCTTTGCTTTCAGCTGTCACTCTGAGCTGTCTCCAGCAGTGTGATGAAGAGGGAGGAGAGCAGAGAGGGAGGAGGAGGGAACCGGTGTCCACCCAGTCCTGGCAGGCCCTCCCTGAACCTTGGAAAGCAATCCTGGGCCTGATCTCCCGCCAAAGAGCCTCCCTCTCTCCTCCACTCAGGCCAGGAGGTTGCTTTCTAGGGTCTCAGGATGCAAAGGTGGGGGCTGTGGGCCGCAATTTCTCTGACCCTCCTCTGTGTCCAGGCCTTTCCACAAACAGACATCAGCATCAGCGCAGGTGAGTGCAAGGGCCAAGCTGGGCGGGGGAACACACCCAGGGACTTTTCTAAAGGTGAGGCCTGGCCGCCTCAGTTGGGGACTTGGGGGCCTGACCTGCTAGCTTCTGCCAACCTAGGCCCTGACCAGAGACGTCCTGGGTTTAAATCCCAGTTTTGCAGTTTACAAGCTGTGTGACTCAGGACAAGTTTCTTGATCTCTTTGAGCCTCAGCTTGGTCTAGAAAATGAGGGTCACAAGGGCGCCTTATTGGAGCTACAGTACAAGGGTGAAGAGATGACATGGGGAAAGTGCATAGCACAGTGTCTGGTGTCATGGGCCCGCCTGAAAATAGCATTTTGGTTAGAGCTTTGCCATCTGGGAGCCCACCCCCACCTTGGCTATGATAGTCATGCCCAGGGATCTGTTGGATCTGCATGCCCCGAGGACAACTCTGTCCTCCCTGCATGTCGTTCCTCTAGTGGCCTCCCTCAGGGTTACCCTAGAGCCCCAGCCCTGTGCCACAGCTCTGTGAGTTTTGTAGGGTGTCCCCACGGATTGGGATACACTTATATTTAAAATGAATTTATTTGGGCCGGGTGTGGTGTCTAACACCTGTAATCCTAGCACTCTGGGAGTCAGGACAGGTGGATTGCCTGAGCTCAGGAATTCAAGACGGAGAGCTGACAGCCTTGGACGTGTGGCCTCCCAGTGTTCCATATGGAGGACAAGAGGCTTCACGTGAACATAATTTCTTCCACTTTGCAACAGGGAGCCAGAGTGCTGACTCCAGGGGCAAGAGTCCTGGATCCTGCAATCTCCTCACGGCTTAGGCTCTTGCCTGTTACCTCTGTCAGATTCTTTCCAGACATTCTTTAAAAAACATACTATTAAAATCTCAGTAACAACAGTTAAGACATAAAGAGGCCTTCCTATGTGCCAGACGCAGTTCTAAGCACTTTTTATATATAGACTTATTTAACCCTCATAATAACCCTATGGCTGAGATACTATTTTTTAAACAAACTTCTTTTAATTAAAACTAATAATGAAATACCTAAATAGAGATTCTTCTAAGATGAAGTTACTGGGCTGTGATAGCATAGAGGTGAATTTAAACAAGGAGTGGCATGGTTATCAGGTAAAATACCAGTAAGTAAATAGCAAGAAATCCTTTTTTTGGAGACAGAGTCTGACTCAGTCACCCCTGGGGTTGAGTGCCATGGCATGATAGCTCACAGCAACCTCAAACTCTTGGGCTCAAGTGATCCTCTTGCCCTAGCCTCCCAAGTAGCTGGGACTACAGGCACCTGCCACAAGGCCCTGCTATTTTTAGAGACAGAAGCTCAGTCTTACTCAGGCTAGTCTTGAACTCCTGAGCTCAGGCAATCCACCCATCCTGACTTCCCGGAGTTCTAGGATTACAGGTGTGAGCCACTGCACTTGACCCTAATAAATCCTTTTTTAATATAGGTGTATACTGAATATTCCATGATACATACTAAAATTATTTGTTGTTTATCTGAAATTAAAATTAGACTAGGTATCTTGTGGGGGGGGGTGCTGTTTAGTCTAGCAACCCTAGTAGAGTTGAGGCTATGATAGCCTCAGTTCACTTGGGCAGGTAGCAGGGGGTTCCATTCTGTCATAAACTCTCCCAGGTCACAGACTGCGTGGCTTAAACAATAGACAGTTATTTTCCAGAATTCTGGAGGCTGAGAGGTCCAAGATCAAGGTGTTGGCATACTTGGTTCCTGGCTTGAAGATAGCCACCTCCTTGTGTGTCCTCCATGGCAGAAATAGGGGTAGAGGGGAGATAAAGATGAGATAGAGATAGAGATACAGATAGAGAGGGTTTCTTTCTTCTGTAAGGGCACTAATCTCATGATGAGGATGGGACCCCATCTAAACCTAATTACTTCCCAAAGGTCATACCACTCAATACCATCACAGTGGGAGTCAGTGCTTCACCCTGTGAGTCGGGGTGAAGAAGAAGAAACTGAATTTACCATATTCAGTTTGTTAATGGTAGGAAAGAAGTTGTAAAAAAAAAATATATATACCATTGGAGATTGCCTTGTGTATCCCAAGATCTTGCCTTTCTGCCCAGCCAGAGTGGGAAAAGGCCAAGACTGAGGTTGAAAGTAGAAACAAGTAGGGGATAATTTGTGCCCATGAGCCTTGTCTGGACCTCAAGTTTCTTCACCTAGAAAATGGGGATAACGAGGGCTTGGGGGATTTACAGTGAGGCAGGTGAGATGCTTAGCACATAGTAAGCACTTGAAAAAGGATGGTTATTCCTGTTATCACACCTGTCACTGTAGTTGTTGATGTTCTGGTAGAACCGAGCAGGAGACTCGAGAGTTTTCTGTTGTGATGAAAAGACTTCATAATGAAAAGGAACTTCCAGACGTCTATCTTCACACCTCACCCCTACTCTGCGATAAGGGACTGGGATTGTGTTAATTCCAGCAACCTTGAGGATCTCAGAGTTTGAAGTTGGAAGAAAGGGGCCTAGAAATCCCCTGGGCCCAACCCTACCATATTACAGCTGTGGAAACCAAAGCTACAGAGGCTGCCAAGATCATTGCTGGTCCAAATAGTAGTTCTTCTGCTCCCCAGGCTCTCAGCAAGCAGAAAACCCGGTTCTAGCCTGAGCAAATGGGTCTTCCAGGGGAAAGTGATGTCAGCACAAACAGAATGTGTGAGTGCGTGTTAGCAGGTGCACGCTGACGTGTGCTAGGAAGGACTTAGGGGTCTCCATGGGCCCTTGCAGACCATGAAGGTGTGTGTACCTGCAAAAACCTTTTGAAGGTGTGTGTACCTGTCCTTACTGAGGACAGGCCTAGTTGTTCTTCTAGATACCCCCAGACTTTAAGTGCAAAGCAAAACAGGCCATTCATCCCACTCCTTGGGAACTTTCCTTACTCACCTCTTTAACATGCAGATACATGCAAATGGTGTAATTCAACGGCACCTCTTAGGTTTGTTTTAAGAAAAACCAAAAAGCAAAAACCTTTAGGCATCACTGAGAGACTTGGGAGGATTTAGCCAGACCAGATCTTTTCCCCAGAACCTTTTCTCTGACCCTGCCTTTGAACCTATTGCTCAACTGGATTCATGAGTGTAACGCGCACCTAATAAGAGCTGCATTAACATTTGATATTGTTCTTCTTCAGCTATTAGAAAGTTTCCTGTCTTTGGCTCCTGAGTCTGAGAGCTCTCTGTAACAAAGGAAATTGTAGAAAAGTGTTTTGAAGCTCAGAATGTGCTTCTGTGGGGCTTCAGGGATAAAGATGGGGAATGAGTCAAGTTCTGCAACTTTCTCCTCTCCCTTCCAAGAACTAGCATTGCACTCTCAGCTCTGGGAATGTCCCAGGGCCCAGGCTGTTTCTATTGCAATAATGTCTAGTGTTTACCAGAATGCCCACCTGTGAGCCAGGGCCTGGCTACCGGTGAAGCAACCACTGTGATCATGCCCATTGTACAGATAAGAAAACTGAGGGACAAAGTACCAAGTTTTCCACTAGGGTCATCTGACTCCAGAGTCCAAGCTCTGAAGTTGGAGCACAGAGGCCTAGGCAACTGTGTCCCTGCCTCCTACAGTAGCCCTGATATTAGAGTGTCCCTTGGACACTCAGCCCATTCCCACTCCTCCTTTATGGTCACAGCCATCTGTGCATAACTTCTAGAACACTTAGTATATGATGATTCTTTGCCCCCTAGACTGTGAACAATCTGAGAGCATGCACCTTAAGGCAAATAGACACTCAAGAAATGCTGACTAATTTGCTTAGTTAATTGATTGTAAAATTTGGGAGTTAATATAGAGATATTTTACAAATGAGAAAACAAAGATCAGAAAAAAAGATGTTTTCTGGAGGAACTAGACTGTTCAGGGGTTTCCAAGTCTGTCAGACCTGAGTCTCAATCCTGGCACCGCCACTTGCTAACCAAAGGAGCAAGTAACTTAACCTCACTGTGCCTCCGTTTCCTCATCTGTAAAATGGGGTTGATACTGAAACCTCCTAGGTTGGTCTCAGGAGTCACTTACTAAGGACCCAATGAATGGTCACTGTTATTAGCAATTTGAGAAATTGTCTAGGGCTTCTTCCTTTGTATCATGTGACTTTTAGAGTGGCCCAGAGAAGGGACAACAAAGTGCAGGTGGACAAGACCTGGGATTGTGATGGTGTGTTCTTTGGAGCCTCTGATCGGAGACGCAGGGGAAAGAAGCTGCAGACGGGATGATTGATTTAAAGGGAGGCCAAGACTCGCTCTGGTCAGCGGCCCGGCTAAACTTTACTGATAATCTTATATACTTTCAAACATTCAGTAAGAATTGAACACATATACAAAGAAGTGAAGTAACATTAGGAAGCTACACTTTAAGATTACAAATCAGTGTGAAGGCTGAGGAACACATATACAATTGATTTTGTTTAGAGTAAAAGCATAAGGTAGACTGTCTGTCCTTGCTGGTCCAAACCAAAACTAGGGATTATAATGTTAATGAAGGGGGAAGACAGAGAATAGAACCCAATGCAGTATGTTCACCCCCAGCTGCCAGACCCTGGCTGATTCTCCACAATTCCTTTTAGAGAGACCTTTCTGCATATTTCTGCATATCTATAGGCAGGTACAGAAGCTCGATCTTCAAAGAAATGTTTCTTAGAATCAATCTCCTGGGGGAGCACATTGACGGGAACTGCCATGTCTGAGCAAGGGGTGCTTGTCTCCTACAGGACTGTCAGTTCCACTTCCAGAGGCTGGGCTGACCATGAAGGAGGCCAGTCTGGCCGTGGCACCCAGGAGACAACAGGAGGGCAGCACCGGCTCCTAGCAGCCACCTTCCTGGAGTCTGCAAGACACTTCCATCCCACCCTCTGGGAGAGTCATGGCCCAGTATGGGGACTAGGCAGACAAATGTGGGCTCCAGCCCCTCCCCCCGCCCCCACTGGGTCCCAAGGCTGATTTGGGGAGGAGGCAGCAGGGTAGTGCATCCCTGGGAGGCTGGATCAGG